CAGTGTATTATTCTTAAACTATCTTTTTAACCGCGACTCAAAAAAAACAATTTTTTAAAAAAAAGCCTGGACTCCCGTCCAGGGTAGGTGGTACATATGTCGTACCATGGTCCTGAAAGGGCTAAATCATTGGTTTAACTATACAACTCTTTAGATTATTCTTTGTACATTTATACTATGATAGATCTAAAATAATCAAGTATTGCTGTTAATTTTGGATGCTTCCGTATTTTCGACATATTTACATAGATTTTAAAGAAAGTTTGCATTACAATCTTTTAGTTTCACTGTTTGTCGATCTTATTAATAGATTTACGAGATATAAGCAATGCTGTTACAACAGAAGTCTACCAATAAATCAAAAAGTTAAATACAGTTGTCTTCTGAAAACAAAATGCTGTTGAGAATGCTATTATAACTCTTAATGAAAGGTTTTGTCGTTCAAAACTTGTTTCTATGGAAATAAAATTATAATGAGGGTTCTATTAAACGAATAAAGTTTTCACAGAATGCTATCATATGCATTTTGTCTCTTGTTAAACAAAAAAACTACTAAGAATCTAAACGAGTCAGAAGAATCTTGATAAAATTCTATTTTTGTCTATGAAAGACAAATGTTCTTACTGACCCTTTTGTTCCCGCAAAATATAAAATATAAGTTTACGAATTTCTGCAACTGTTGGATGAGTTTATTTAAGACAAATTCAAATCATGGCTAAATTTTTATAGTTCAGGAAAAAATATTTAATTATTGGCGCGTTTTATTTTTGTTGAATTTTAAATAAAGATTTACCTCGCTGCATATCGTTGACAAATATAATTCTTATCAACTGAGTGATTTTTTGTTTTATTCATTAAGTCTCTTGATAATTCTAAATCTAATTTTATATTTGATTGTTTAATCATCATGATGCTTCTCGATATACTTTCATGAAATTACTATGTATATAGTTAGTTAGTCATCGAATAGTGTCCTCTTTTATCATCCAGTTTCTGATTGGGTAATTTGTCGACAAATAAATTATGTAAGAACGAGCTGTCTAACAATCGATCGTTCGGGTCGCACGAACAGGCGATGCTACTAATTGTCCACCACGATGGTTTTTTTTTCGAGAATTTCGTTGCCATTGTAAAACATTTATGTACAATCAAACTTTATTCAATGTTATTCTTTTTATTATTTTCACTTAACTATGAAAAAACACATCGATAGACAATAAATTGCTTTCGATAACCGGAAATATCTATATCTCCATATATATCTATATATAGTTATTAAAAACCAATAGGGATGAAGAATATTTAGTCTGTGTAATATGTGTGTGTGTTTTTTTTTCTTTTCTTTATGCTTCAATTCTATTAATTGATCATATGAAATACAATGTATGCCCTCTATCGATAAGTAAAAATTATATTCTTTTTCTGTTTTTAGATATGAGTTTTTTGATTTATTTTCAAACGTAATTCTTTTAATAGAATGAATCTCGTATCAAAACCATCGGACAATCAATTTAACTTACGTGGTAAGACATCTTTAAGTTTAATTTTTTCATTTTTTTAAATCTCTTTTTCATTTAGGCCAAGATGTTCTTCCATTAGATAATAATTTTCCTTCATTTAAATTATTTCCGGCACCACGTAATGAATCAATCGATAACAGTAATAATAATCGTGCATCACCATTAAATACTACTGTTGGTGTCATACCAAAAAATCCAACACCAACTGAAACTGATGAACTTGATTTTCAGCCAATACAAATATCACCATTTCGTTTATTTGGTACATCAACAACAACTGCAACAACAGCAAATCAAAGTTCTCCTAAACCTTCGAATACAACTACATTAAAAAAACATTCATCAACAGCTGATAAACCAAGAAGAAAACGAGTACCTAAAGTCGATGATATTAATGATACACAAAAAGTTAAACGAAGGAAGAGTGAAATGAATTTACAACAAAAACAATTAACATTAACTGAATTACAATCTCCAGTAACAACCGAGAAAAAAATAACGTTAAATCCAGAAACATTTGTAGCAAAAGTAATGATTGATTTTTTATATGATTTATCTTTTAATTCAATTATTTATCTATAGAATTCTTCAAATTATCGTGAAATTGGTTTTTCTCCTGTTTCATCAGCTCAAAGTGATTCAGGTTCGAATTCAAATCATACATCTGAATCATCAACTAATCTTACAGCTAATTCAAAACAAATACAAGTGAATAATATCTTTTTTCTTCTATGACAAAAAAAACTTTTTCTTTATTAGACTGATATAAGCGGAGCAATAAATCCAACATCGAATGAACTCGAAGCAAAGAACAGTCAAATTCAAACATTATCAAGAGTAAAAAAATCATTCGAATATATTTTTTTTTGTTTACTCAATATATTTTCTTTTAAAAGGAACGAGATGATTTACGACGACAATTAACTGAAATGAAAAAAGATTTAGATAAACAAACAAATATATTACAAAAATGTTTAGCTGTTAATAAAAAATTACTTGTAGAAAAGGTATGAAATAAATTCTTTAGTTGAACATTTATATAAGAAAGGAAAACTGTGCCTATTAAATTTGAATTCTATACATAGAATAGATCTTAATAAAACTCTAGTAGGATATTTATACTTACGATAATGAATAGATCTCTTGTAATCAAAATCTTTTATAGATTCTCACATTCAATTAAGTGATGATGTATAGAATTCTCTTGTAATTTACTTATTTTAGCTAAAAAAATTATATTTCTTCTTTAGTCAACACTTGAACGTAAACAAGCAAGACAGAAATGTATGGAAAATCGTTTAAGACTAGGACAATTTGTCACACAACGACAAGGTGCAACATTTGTAGAAAATTGGACTGATGGAACAGCATTTACTGATATTACAAAGTATAGTTTATTAATTAAATTATCGTTTTTTCTTATTTTTTTAATATTATAGACAACAAGAAATGCTACAACGTGCCCGAGAAGAACTCGATCGTGAACGTCGTAATCTATTACGTCGTCGACCCAATTGTGAAGTAAAAGAAAAATTAACGAAAACAGCATATACAAGAGCAAAAAGTAAAGATCGTGGTAGTTCATTTACCACACAAGATGAAAGTAGTAATGATGGAATGAAAACAACAAATGATGCAAATAAAGGGTTAGTTTATTAACAAAAAAAATGATTTGCATATATTTTTGTGTGTTTCTAGAATAAATGTTAGTGATTGGTATGAATCTGATGAAATATTACGTTTACGACAAGCGTCATTGAAGAAGGAAGAAGTCGATCTTCAAATTGAATATGAAAAATTAGAACGAGAAAGAAATTTACATATACGGGAATTAAAACGAATTTATAATGAAGATCATTCCAGGTAAGATTGGATATTTGAAATAGAACGAAAATTCGAAATTGCTTAGTTTTCAATGAAAATTGTTAGAATCGATTAAATGACTAATATAATCGCTTGAAAAATCTAAAAATTCTTCTTGTTATCTAATATATTGATGATCGGTCCACTTTAGATATTTCTTGAAAGTAATGTTATTATTGACTATTAGTAAGTAGAATTTAAAATATCCAGATTGGATGAACACATTCATGTTTCAAACTGATCGATACAACCGACGTAAGAGACACAGTTTCTTTTAAGAGAAAATAATTTTCTAAAATCTAAAAATGTTGTAAATTATTGAACAGAGAAAATAATACATTCGACATATCTTTGAGTTTATCGATGAGAAAAATCTCGGAAGATGTAATAAAGACTATTTCATTTACGATTTAAATTATATGAATATCTCTATTTAGATTTCAAGATCATCCTATACTTAACGATCGTTATCTACTTCTAAGTTTGATTGGCAAAGGCGGTTTTAGCGAAGTGCATAAAGTAAGAAATTTTGTAAAAAAATAAAATCATTATGAAACTAAATGTTCTTTTTTAAGGCCTTCTGTTTAAAAGAACAACGATATGTTGCCGTTAAAGTCCATCAACTTAATAAAGAATGGAAAGAAGAAAAGAAAGCTAATTATATAAAGTAAGAATTATCTTTTTATCCAGTTGTTTTATCTTTATTCTTTTTTTTAAGACATGCTTTACGCGAATGTGACATTCTTAAAACACTTGATCATCCTCGTATTGTACGCCTATATGATGTATTCGAAATTGATACAGATTCGTAAGAAATAGAAAAAAATACATATTATATTTATCCTTTTTTTTCTTCAATAGATTTTGTACGGTACTGGAATATATTGAAGGAAATGATATAGATTTTTTCTTAAAACAACATAAAATCATTCCAGAAAAAGAAGCACGTTCTGTTATGATGCAAACAGTGAGCGCATTACGTTATTTAAATAATGGTATTAAACCACCTGTGATTCATTTTGATCTTAAACCGGCAAATATTCTTCTCGGTTCGGGTACAAGTAGTGGAGAAATAAAAATAACAGATTTTGGTTTAAGTAAACAAATGTGTGAAGATACATATGATCCTGAACATGGAATGGATTTAACATCACAAGGTGCAGGAACGTATTGGTATCTTCCTCCTGAAGTATTTGTGCAAGGACCCAATCCACCTAAAATATCTTCGAAAGTTGATGTATGGAGTTTAGGTTGTATTTTTTTTCAATGTTTATATGGACGAAAACCATATGGTCATAATCAATCACAAGCAGCTATACTTGAAAATCAAACTATACTAAAAGCTAAAGAAATTGAATTTCCAAATAAACCTATTGTATCTGATGGCGCAAAAGTATGTTGTTATTTCTTTCTTTAACTAAAGAATTCTTTATATTTTGTTTTCTAGACATTCATAAAACGTTGTTTAACTTACAATGTTCGTGACAGACCTGATGTAAATCAATTAGCTGATGATGAATATTTACGTTCCTATCCAAAACGTACAACAACAACTGCATTAGCGCGAACAGCACAATTAACAATGAATGATGGTTCAAATTAATAAAACAAGATACGAGAATAGTATCCTATGCATATACTTATTTATTAAATAAGAAAACATGTTCTTTCGATATATATATATATTTTTTTTCTGTTTCTTCTTCTTCTTTATATCCTGATTATTTTTTTTTAAAAACATGCGTCTATACGCTTTAAAACAAAACAAAAATTTTGCGCGTTTAATATTTCGTGAATTTATTAAGATCGGCCGATTTTTTCTTTTGTTTTGTCTCTTATATTCAGTTTTTTGTCATTGTTCTTATAAACTTCATTTTTCTCTCTCTTTTTCTATATATAAATATATATATATATATACATATATAAATGTATGTGTGTTTGTGTGCGGGTGTAAATAGATGAGTAGATATTTTTTCTTTTTTTTTGTTTGTCATTGAAAAGAAAATTTACACATAGAATTCTACCACGCCTGAATCCTTTAGCAAACAAAGTCCCGGAAAGGTTCTATTGGTGCTGATGATTATCGAAGGAATAAAAACAGAAAGAGCAAAGACATATTTTTTTTTCCTCTTTTCACACTTCTACTCGTCTACTTCTCTTTGTCTTGTGTCTAGTCTTTAACGACGATGTGTTTTTTTTTCTTTTTGGTTTTTGGTTCAACAATATGCACACAATTGTCTCTTTTTCTCTTTTTGTTTCTTGCTTTCATCAGTCTTTGCCCTTTCTTTTTCTCGTCTTTATATTTGTGTTGTACGCGTGTGTGTGTGTGTGTGTGTGTGTTTCATCCTCTCTAAATATGGACTCAATTTATGCGTTCTTTTCTGTTTGAAAATAAAAAAAAATGAGACAAAAAAAAAACGTTCTAGTTTATTTGTTTGATTTTTGTTTTATATTTGAATAAAAAGTCTAGTCGAACGGTTTAATCATATGTGTCACTCGATATATATGGTTCGAATCTCGGTCAATGCTGATATGATGAATATTTTAGTTATCCCTGTCTGAATGATATGAAGATTTAACCGGTTTAGAGAACTGATCAGCATATCGATTAAGATTCAATATAAATCATTTTTAAATATTACCTATAAAAACCAAACGACCTTAAATAGGTTTTGAGAAAACCTTTTCATTAAGTTAAATTTTTACATTTTAGATTATTCTTTAAAAGATAAATTATAATCATGGACGAAATTTTTGCTCGTGCTAAAAGTATTCTTGTTATCTGGGCTGATGATGTTGATCCAGAAAATTTACCTGTCTTCCAAGAAACATTACAAACAAAGGCAAAACAAGCTAATATTGCTTTTGAAAATGTTCAAATGCTTTTAGACTGTAAGTTGAATACATATACATATATAGATATTTATTTATATTTTTATATAAAAAGCTCGACGTGCAACATCATCATTTGATATAATTCTTTTTGGTCTTGTAAGTAAACGTGATCCACCAACGAATGCTGATTTATTCAATGAATTTTTTCGTTTACTTCGTCCAAATGGTTATCTTATAACACATATTGAACATACAACACAATCCCAAGCAGTTGATCATTTTAAAATGTGTGGTTTTACTAGTTGTAATCCACTTGATACGAATTCATCATTTTTAATTGAAAATAAAGATGATGATGTTAAAAAACTTGGTTCATTATGGTTATGTCAAAAACCATCATTTGATGTTGGATATTCCGTACCATTACGTAACAGAGGTAATAGTCAAACAGGACAAGTTTCATCAACAAATGAAACAAAAAAAACATGGACAATGGATGATGATGATTTAATTGATACAAATGATTTATTGGATGATAATGATCGAAAAAAACCTGATGTTAAAAGTAAAACTTCTTTTTCTATAAGCAAATTTTAACTAAATTTGTTTTTTAAAATTAAGATTACGATTGTGGTACATCATCTACTGGTGTTCGAAAAGCATGTAAAAATTGTTCATGTGGTTTAGCACAAGAACTTGAACAAGAAGAACATGCAGCTGCAAAAGAAACCGTAAAATCAGCATGTGGAAGTGTATGTATTACGAAATTTTGATTCTTTCTAAAAAAACTTACGATTTTATTTTAGTGTTATTTGGGTGATGCTTTTCGATGTGCTGGTTGTCCAAAACGTGGTTTACCTCCGTTTAAACCTGGCGAACGTGTTACCGTACCAAATATGTCCGATGTTTAAAGAATATCCAAAAATTTTCTAATATTGTCATATGATTTATGCACTTGATTAACAGCTAAAGCTATTTTTTTGTAAACAACACCGACATATTACCTGACAATCTTTTCTTTTCTTTTTAATAATCAAGATAAACACCTTAATTTACATCTCTTATTCTATATTTTCAAGAAAGAACTAATAATTCGATATGCTTAATACTAATCATAAAATGAATCTAAATACCAAATGATTAAATTGTATTTATTGAAGTTCTCAAGCAATTTGTTAAATAAAAACTCAGTTAAATATTTTTGTAAATGTATAAGATACAATATGAAGAGTAATCTGATTCTCATGATTCTAAAAATTAATCTTTTGTCTTTAATTATATTATAAGAAAAACAAATAGGATTTATTCTAGTAATTTAATACGAAGTAAAATGAATTTAATTGTATCAAAACAAGCTGCTTTTTTTCGAAGGGGTGCTGATTAAATTGTAGAAATCCCAAATATATGAGACACCTCCGTTAAAATTGATATTTGTATATTAAATCCTATATCATATTACTACTGATGATGAATTACTAATAAAAACCACATGGTTCTTTATTTAAATTCTTTTTTCAAATCATTGAAGAAAATAATTTTCGAATAGCAATAAAAATGAAGTTTATATTGTAAGTAAAATATGTACATATAGTCTATGAAAGATTTCTTTATTGTTATTCAGCATTTTGTCTGCATTGTTATTTTTAACAGTAAACAAAGGTATTTTGTTATATAAAATAATTTTCTAAAAATCAATGTAACTACTCGATAGGTTATGGAAAACGAGTTATGTGTTATTATACGAATTGGTCTGGTTATCGACAAGGGGAAGGACGATTTTCTATCAATGATATTGATCCAAATTTATGTACACATATTATATATTCATTTGCACGTATTCAAGGAAATGGTTTAGCTACAACTGAACCAAATGATCCAGGTTTATCATTGATAAATTTATGGTTAAAACTTAGTTTAATTCTTTTACAGAAATGTATAAACAAATGATGGCATTAAAAGCAAAAAATCCTGATTTGAAAGTTATGCTTGCAGTTGGCGGTTGGAATCATCCAGCAGCACCATTCACACAAATGGTTTCAACAGAACAATCACGTGCTGAATTTGCTGAAAATTCATATAATTTTCTTAAACAATATGGATTTGATGGACTTGATCTTGGTTAATAAAATTTCAAAATATGATTTATTTATTTGATTATATTTTTTTTAGATTGGGAATATCCAGCTGATCGTGGCAGTCCTCCAGAAGATCGACATCGATTTACTCAATTAGTTGAAGTAAATAAAAATAATATTTTAGTATAAAATATTTCATTTTTTTCTCGTGATTAGCAATTAAGTACAAAATATAAGCCACAGGGTCTTCTATTATCTGCTGCAACACCAGCACCAGCTGCAAAATATGATAGTTGTTATGAACCTGAAGTTTGCCAGTAGAACAAAACTTTTTAAAATTTCTATTTTATTTCAAACATATTTTTCAGACATTTAGATTTTGTTAATATGATGACATATGATTACAGTGGTCCATGGGAACGTTTTGCTGGACATAACAGTCCATTAACAGCACAAAAACAATCAGTTCAGAACATGTTACAAAAACCAGCTTGTACACCAGATAAATTAAACTTAGGAATGGGTGCTTATGGGTAGATAATTTCAAAGTTTCGTTTCGATAATAAAACTTTACGTTTATATAGACGAACTCAACAGTTAGTCGATCCATCACAACATGCTATTGGTATAATGAATAGATTATGTTATGTCAAAAATTTTCTATTCTGAATTTCTTTTAAATTAGGTTCCCCATCTACAGGTGGCGGTCCTGCTGGTCAATATACAGGAGAATCTGGTTTTCTAAGTTATTATGAAGTATGTCAAAAAATAAAAGAAGGTTAGTTTCTTAGAAGAGAAATAAATAGAAATTTTTTCATTTGAAATTTATTATTTAGGATGGGTAAGAGAATGGTCAAATGAACATCAAGTACCCTATGCTCATTCTGGTTCAGGTTGGGTGGGTTATGATGACACACAAAGTATTGCCGCAAAAGTAAAATATGTCTTTCAATTTAATTAATATTATTTTTGGCATTTATTTAAAAATAGGCTAATTATGTCAATGAAATGAATTTAGGCGGTGCCATGTTTTGGGCTATGGATTTAGATGATTTTCGAGGCAATAAATGTGATGAAGGCAAATTTCCATTAATTAATACTGCTAAAGATATTGTCAATGGAAAACAACCATCAACACGACCAACAACAACATCAACAACTACTGCAAAACCCACTGATCAAACAAATATTGCAGCATTCTATTGTCAAAATAGTAAGTACATATTCGAAGAAATAAAACTAACAATAATAATCATCTCTATTTGTTTTTGTAGCTCTAGAAAAACAAATATATGCAAATGTTTCCAATAATTGTCAAAGTTATTATGAATGTTTAATTACACCAAGTGGTAAACAAATAACTGTCTCACGAACATGTCCCACGCCACTAATTTATGCTGAAGATAAAAAGAAATGTGTCAAAGAAAAAGAATTAAGTGATGTTAATATTAAATGTTCAACAAATTGTACGATAAGAACAAATTATTTGTATATTTTATTCATTCTTTTTTTTTAGTGAAAATTCCAGCTGCACCAATATCATCAGCAAATTGTTGGGATCCATCAGCTTCTGTTCCCGATACACAATGTCGTTTCTTTACAGATTGTTCAACAAAACGTCGATATGAATGTCCACCTGAGACATCATTTGAACGAAATATAAAACGATGTGTACCGAAAAATAATGTTCAATGTTGGTGGTAATTTTTTTTTGTTTCTATATAATAATTATAAAAATAAATAACAACAAAATATTATTATATAAACATACTTTTTGGTTTCCAAAGATCAATCTTATTGGCACTGTTTGCTTTATTTTTTTTTATAAAAATTAGTCTGATAATGTAAATAATTAGAACAGGAAGTGTCTGTATAGATTATCGAATATGATAATATTATATGTTTGCAAAAAAATCTCTCATTTATTATAAATTGACAGAATGAGAATATTTTTTTGGCTTATTTGAATAGAAAAACGATTTATCTAACATATGAACAAGCTTTTTTATATGCTAGAATATAGTTAACAAATATATATGTGTTTTCATCTACTATTTCCGTTTGATAATGATGGGTTTTTTTCATATTCATATAGGTTGAACGTACCTTTGATATATATATATATAAATGTACAGTTTATGCTTACTAATATTCTTCATTGTTGTCTATAATTAGCGTGATTATGAAATATACTTAAAGGAATATTTTATTTTAATAATTTCAAGAAAATGAAAAACTTATCATGATTTCTTCCGGTGACATGAATACTCTAACAAATGAATTGTCTCGTCTCATATTTCACTTAATTTAATGCTTGATTAATAAGATGATTTTTTGTTCTGTTTCAAAGATTTACTAATTATAACTTAAGAGAAAAAAAAAACGGCAAGAAGTTTATTCTACTTTGTTCTTTCTTCTTTTCTCTTATTCTCTATTTCTCTCTTTTCCAATCAATAAAAGATTCATCTCTTAAAAATGTTCCCTCATCTTTCTGTTTTTTGTAGAACAGATCATAACATCCTTTCTGTCATTATTAATTCATTCTAGTTCATACCCATATATATAATCGCTTGAAAAATAATCGCTTCTATACATTGATTTATTAGATATTCCCATCATAATACAACAAAAAACATACAATAACCCTCAATATGTTTGGCATTGGAAGAAAAAATTTCGGTTCATCTATGATACCTGTTTATCTACTTTCGTTTATTCTTATTACCAATCAATTTCTGTTCATTCATTCATTTGTAATTATACATAATGATCAAGATCAGGTATAAGATTAATTAATATTTAATTCTAGCAAAAAAACAAATACGATTAAAAATAATCTAAGCTTTTCTTTTCTTATCGATCTACTAATTAGAAAAGATGATTGTATTTATTTTGATTAAAGCTTAACATGAATGTTGACATTATTAAAATTTACTAAACAAAACGAGACATCGTCCTTGTCTTTCATGTTTACATATCATAAATACTCTTGAACCACGAGATGGATCTGTATATAGGAGAAGTTGCTATTGTTTTCTTATCAAGGCTAATAGGGTCGCATGAAGAAAACAAAGAAGATATATTTATGATATTTTTTTGTAAAAAGAAAGATGATTATATATTCTTTGGATTTAGAATCAACTTGATATTTTACGACAAGCTGTTATTCAACGATTGATTGATAATACTTTAATAAATCTAGGTAAAATAAAAAAAAAATTTTTTTGAAATTTATTTCATATGTATATATATAAAGAGGATTCATCAGCTGATGACGATGATTTACAAACATTGATTGAACCAACAGTACAACGTATGTTTTTATGTTTTTTATTTATTCTTCAATTAATTATTTTTATCTAGGTCGTTATTGCTGTATGAATCCATTGAGTGGCCGAAAACGATTTGTACGAGATTTAGCACGAAAACAACAATTATCGGATATATTTATTCAGTAAAACTTTTCGTTTAAAATTCATATTTTAATTGTATGTGCTATAAACAAGAAAAAAGAATAAAAAGGAAAAAAATAATTCAATTATTATTTTTTTGTTGTTTTATTTTAATTATTTTTCTATTGAAATTAGAACAAACAAAGCAAAAAAAAATATACATAGGAAAATGACTCTTGTTTTTAGAATTATATAACAAAGAAAAAGTAAAAATAGATTGGAAAGTCACCGAATCATGTAGTGGAATTTAAAAATCGAGGTAATTATAAACAATATTTAATAGAAAAATAAAACATCACAGATCAGTATGCCACAAAAAAACGACAAGACACCGGACTATTGTAGGAATAAATAAAATAACTGTTTGATTTAATGCCTAAAAAAAAGATCGAATTAAGAAAATTCGGATCTTCGCCCGATAAGACTCTACATACCATAAGATTGCCCCACTAAAGGTGTGTTAATTCTATAAAAGAAATTTATGATATTTTAAATCTATTTATATTTCGACTTACCAAATACATTTTTCTTGTTTCGATGAAATAATTTACTAAAAAAATTTCGTTTTAAACAATTATCTTCCTTGTCATCTATTTGATTTTCTTCTTGTATCTTAGCAAAATTAACAAATACATCATCCAATGTTACTTGTGTAACTGTATAATCTTCAATAGTATTTACTAATTCTTCTCGTGCTTTTTCTAAAACACTAAACATTTTATATAATGGAACATTCGTTGATACACGAAAATGTATCATTTTATTATGTTCTTCTTTAACTGTTGATTCTGGTATATGTTCTTTTATATAATTAATAACATTTTTAATATCACTATCAATAGTTGTTCGAATAAGTATTGTATAACCATCACCAAATCTTTAAGAGGAAAAACAAGATGTATAAAATTTTCAAAAACTATCGTTTACTTTGCTTTCAAATGTTGTACACTACCAAGACATTTAAATTTACCATTGACCATAATAACAAGACCTAGACAAAACAAAAATATTGAATGATTTAAAATATAGTATTCATACGGTTGCATAATGTTTCACATTCTTCCATTGAATGAGATGTTATTACAACTGATTTATGATCTTTACGCGTTAATGTTAATATACAATTCCATAAAAATCGTTTTGCACGTACATCCATTCCTGTTGTTGGTTCCTAAAACGAATTATTTTCTTAGAATTTTAATATTTCTCTTTCAGAAACTCTTACATCCATAAATATAATTGATGGATTACCAATAAGTGAAATAGCTGTAGATAATTTACGTTTATTACCACCGGAATATTGTTTAACAGGTCGATCAGCCCATAATGTAAGTCCAAGCCGTTTTAATAAACAATCAGCAATCTATACAATTCTCATTTAAAGAAAATTAGCTCCTTGTTTGAATAAACTTACATATGAAATATTCTTTTTTTTAATTCCACGTAAACGTGCATAAAGATAAAGATGTTCTCTTGCTGTTAATAAAGAATCCAATGCATCAAATTGTGGACAATAACTAAAAGAAAAATAGAATTAAATATTCCAGTCTCTTTTTGTTTTTCCATTACCCTAAATTTTGATGAACTTTATTTAATTGTTTAATAACACTAAAATTATTAATCGATGCATTTCCATCTGTCATCGAAACTTCTCCGGTTAACATTTTAAATGTTGTTGTTTTTCCTGAACCATTAACACCTAATAAACCAAAACATTCGCCTTGTTTAACACCAACACATGTTCGTTTAACAGCTGTAAAATTTTTTCCAAATCTCCATCCATAAACCTAATAGAAACAGAGATAATTTGTTTTTGATATTCTTTAATTTTATTCATACTTTAATTAGATCAATCATTCGTAGAATATCTCCACTTATATTATTACGATCAGCATAAATTCTTTCACGTTCAGCAGCTACATCATCATCATCATCAGCAACTGTAGATCTAAATTCTTCGGGTATACTAACACAACCACTAAATATTAGAGAATTTTTGTTAAAGAATAAAAAATATTTTAAATCTAATTATTTTACCGATCAGGTATAAAGAATCGATATTGAACAAGAATTGCAAATAGAAAAAAGACGACACCTTCAATAAATAAAGCTAATAAATTTCTTCCAACAACATCAAATGCAAATGGTGAAACAGGAATATAATTCGGAACTAAAAATAACAAAAAATTATTTCAAATAAATATGAATAAATAAATAACTAACTATATTTAAGACTGAGTGCATTTGTTTCATAGATTTTACTCATATCAAATAAGCCACGTCCAAGACAATAATGTGGAAATATTAAAAATATTTTTGTTAAAATTTTATTAATCTTTAGTAAATCTTCTTCATCATCAAAACTTTCCAATGTTATTGTTGCTATTGTTGTCATTAAACCAATAAATATATTAATACATGACATAACTACAAAACCTGTTGATGGAGTTTTAAAGAAATAATTAATTGGATACATTAATGGTATAATTGCAAAACCATATAAAAATAATAATAATAAAAGACATAGAAAATTTGTTTTATAAACATAAGCATCAACATGAAAAGCAAGAAATATAATTAAACAACATGCAATTGATACACAATAATTTGTTAAATCCCAAAGAAAATTCGCCCACCAATAAGTTATACCTACAAACAAATAAACAATGAATTGATTTATTTTTATTTAGATATTTTATTACCATGAACACCACTAACAAATTGTAAATGTTTCGATGTTGTTACACGTTCATCAATCAGAAAAACAAGAAAACTCGCAGGAATAAATGCTAATGCAAATATAACACATATAGCTGTAAACATTTCCATTGCAATACGATTTTGTAATTCACTATCAAGTTGAATTTCAGTTTTTGGTAATGGATGATTTATTGATGTTATACCATAATCATCAAGTGATATCGTAGCATTTTTCTGAAGAAGTATACCACGTAATAATGCATTATTGAATATATTTAAAAATGCGACACTTGCTGGCCATCCTTTATTATTATACCAAACCTAAAGAATGAAATATTCATATTATTTTATCAATATGATAATTTCACGATGAATGTATATATACCGAAGCTTGTGGTGGATGTATTTCAAAGAGATCGGCAAGTTTAGCTGCATCAACCGTTGATATTGATTGATTTCTTTGACGAGTTAAATTGTTAAATAGTTCAATAAGTGTTTTATTAACCAGAGTAAAACTAGATAAATTATTTCCTGATATAAATTCTATACCACCAAAACGTTTCATTAAATATTGTTCTTGATATTCTGTTTTTACTATCCTAAAATAAAAACTAATTAGATTTATTAAAATAATTATCGTTTTACGAACCAATCACTTATATTATAATCATTTAAACGATATAAATCATCTTGTGTTTGTAATACATCATAACTAGGCGGTGGACCACCACCACTTGCTGGACATTGTTGCATTTTTTCATAACAGTCACATGCAGGGGATATACGTGTTTGATTATAATTAACACTATTTAATTCAGCCATTATTTCCGGACTTGTTGGTACATAGACATAATTAGAACCAGTTGAAGTACATGGATATAAATTTGGGTTAAGCATTGTTGTTGGCATACAACGTGTACCTAATGATGGTGATTTCGTAAATGTTTGTTGGATAGATTTCGATAATAATGAAGATTTATTAATAGAAATTGATTGAAACATATAATTTGGATTATTCCAATACCATGGATGAAGTATAAGTGGTGGTGGATCACTTTGACTTGGTGTTAATGTTATAACTAACATCGCAAGTAGAACGAAGATAATTGGAAGAAGTATTTCAGCAATTAATCCTTTAATATTACGTTTCGTTCGATGAAAACGTTTTATAAGTAATCCCATTACTTGAAAAGCTAAATATTGTATCCCAGTATAACGTTCAGCTGTATATGAACCCCATTCAGCTAAAAAGAAATTATAAATAGTTAGGTTTTTCAAAATATTCTAGATTTATTCATACCGCTTAATGATGTATTGAATGGTTCTTCAGCATCAGCATTTTCTTCTTCGATGGTTTCAACTTTTGCTTCTTCTATTTGTTTGGTTTTTGTAAACCATCCTTTAATTAAAATTTGATATTTCTTCCAATATGACAAACGTTCATAGTCTTCTAGTCGTTTTACTTCATCAGCTACACGAAGAAAGACTTGTTCAAGACTACTATTTGATAAACCATAACTTTTAATATTAAATTTCGTTATATTTTCATCAAGATCAGCAAGCATTTTAGGAAACAGTTTTGTATGAGCAGAATCATCTAATATAACATATGTTATTTGATCTCCATGTTGTTCTTTTATACGTATATCAGACATATAAGTTTTAAGAAAATCTGTTAATTGAGTAAATTGTGTTGATACATTTGTAATTGGATCAATTGTTTCCAATTCCATACTTGCTGGATCGAGTATGTTATCTGTTGGTTCTTGTCTAAGTTCATTTTCATTTGATGTTGATGTTAATTCAACAATTAAATTATAACCTTCACCATATTTACGTTTTAAATACATTGTTGTACCGAAACATTGTAATTCCCCCGATGAAATTATTGCTAAACGATCACTTAATAAATCTGCTTCATCAAGATGATGAGTCGATAATACAATTGTTCGATCTTTTTTATATTTAAGTATAAGATCCCATATAGCTCGTCGAGCGAATGGATCGACACCTAAATAAAAATCAATTACATAATAATTGTCGGAAATAAAAGCTCAAATATTTGTCATTAGTGTAAAAAAAAAGCAAATTTGTTACTGATTATTAAAGTGCTTAATTTCCGGAATTCCTTTAAAATAAAGAATAGATTTTTTTTCTATTAAATATATTTACCAGCTGTTGGTTCATCTAAAATAACTGTTGTTGAATTTCCAACAAATGCAATAGCAATTGAAAGTTTTCTTTTCATTCCTCCAGATAATTCAGTTGAATAATTTTCGGATTTTTTTTCTAATTGTAAATCAGCA